AGTTCGATTTCTTAAAATGTCAAAAACACTTTCGACTGATATGGAGTATGTAAAACAAAAATAGAAAGAACATTAGGTTATCCCTAAATCTTGTAATTCCTCCAAAATTCACTCACTTGTATTAAGTTTTTCTTAAAAATCGCCAAATTACAGGGCAGTTGTTTAACATAGATGAAGTACACTTTAAAACTTTTCATATCATTCATTACATTCAAAATATATATGATTTAGATTTATGTCTACTGAGTTAACAAACGGTTGTTATGCTATTTCATAACTTTTTCCATTTCTATATTTATCTTCCTATATGACTATCTGTCGTTCAATATTTAGCATGTCTACAACATACTCATCCTAAATACAATTAGTTACTAACACCTGTTACTCCCAATGAAGCATAAGCCACCGACCGGCATTCTCCGATCCACTCTGTCCCACTCTGCCTTCCTTTTCAGTTCTATCCAATTGTTGTTCATTCTTCTCATGGCTGTCCCGATTTCTCGACGTAATGTGTTCTTTGGTGTCCCTCTGCTCCTTAAACCTTGAGGACTCCATGTGAGGGCTTACCTTGTGACGCGGTTCGGTGCTTTCCTCAATGTGTGTCCTGTCCACCTCCAGAGCTTCTTCCTCCGCTAGGATCTGGTTTGTTCTCTCACACAGTAGGTTGTTCCTGATAGTGTCTGGTCAACGAATCAGAAGTGTTTTGCGTAGACAGCTGTTAAAAGACAATTGTATCTTCTGGATGATTGCTTTCGTAATCCTCCACATTTCCCCTCCATACAGTAGATCTGTTTTGACATTTGTATTGAAATTTTTGACCTTGGTGATGGTTGACAGTTGTTTTGAGTTCTAGTCAGTATGTCAGTCAGCTACAACGTAGGACCAGGCACATATATGCATCGGTCCAAGTTGCCATACCTCATTAACACAACAAGATGAACACCGGATTCATAAAGTAGTTAATTCAGAGGTGGTAATATATAAAAGAAAGATTGCAATAAGGATATAGTACAGGAAGAAAGAATTAGTTCGTAGAAAGAAAGATACGAAGTGATTTTAATCTCTTAGTTTAAGGGAGGACAGAGTATGTATACACCGACCCCATTGTGATCGATTCTGAGCCATGTCACCAAGAGTCTCCAACCATTGGTTACGATAGTCACGCGGACCCCAACCAAGTAGTCTGCTTAGACCAGAAGTTAGTGACTTCAAGCACTGATGCCACGTTTTGGTTTGGCCGCCCCTAACTTTCTTCCAACCACCCCCTACACCGGTTAGCATTGCACGTCGTGGTAATCGGTGTTCAGGCATACGTAACACGTGGCCCAACCATCTCAGTCGATGAAGATTCATAACCTCATCAACTGATTTACCATCATTCCCTAATACCCTGCGTCTAACCTCACTATTACTTACCCGGTGATCCCAGCAGATGCCAGCAATATTTCTAAGGCATCTGTGGTCAAATACTAGTAGCTTACGAGTGTCTTCTACTCTTAATGGCCATGTTTCGCTGCCGTAAATTAAAACAGAACGGACTGCCGCGCAGTATACTCGTCCTTTTATTGATAGACGGATATCTCGCCTTCGCCAAAGGTGACGTAAGTTGGCAAAAGCCAAACGAGCTTTTCGAATCCGTGCTGAGATTTCGTCAGACACCAACCCATTAGGGCTGATCAGACTTCCAAGATAAGTGAAGTTGTCAACGCGTTCGACTACTTCACTCCCTATCCTTAGTTCAGGTGTTGACGCAGACCAGTCCTGAAGCAACAACTTGCATTTAGAGGGAGAGAAGCGCATTCCAAACATTCTGGCATTGTTGCTTAGTGCTACCAGAAGACTCTGCATTTTGTCAGCGTCTTCACCAAACAGGACTATGTCATCTGCGTATTCTAAGTCGATAAGTGGACCTCCTGGAAGGAGATCAATACCCGAGAATTCAGTCGACGAGAATGTTATTTCCATCAATAGGTCTATGATGAAGTTAAACAAAAATGGAGAAAGTGGACAGCCTTGACGGACACCACTTGAGGTTGCAAAAGTAGATGACAGTTCGCCATAAGCTCTGACTCGACTAGTAGTGTTCGAGTAAAGAGCCTTCACAAGGTTTATGTACTTCTGAGGTACGCCTTTCAATGACAGACACTGCCACAGAATCTCGCGGTCTACAGAGTCAAATGCTGCTTTTAAGTCAAGAAAGACCACCATTGTCGGACGCCGATAAGTATGCCTGTGTTCTAGAACCTGACGAATGGTGAATATGTGGTCGATGCAGCCACGACCAGGTCTGAAGCCAGCTTGGTTCTCTCGTGTTTGCAGTTCACGAGTCTTAGTTAGGCGTCTGATAATTATCGAGGCTAGTATTTTAGATACTATATTAGTTAAACTAATCCCTCTGTGGTTGTCACAGGATGATTTTGACCCTTTCTTATATATTGGGACGATAAGTGATTGCGACCAGTCAGATGGGATAACGTCTAACTCCCAGATCTTAGCTAAAATATTAGTCAACCTAATCGCTAAAATTGGACCACCATCCTTAAAGACCTCTGGAGCCAATCCATCTGCCCTTCCTCGTTTCAGATTAACTATAGCCTTTTGAACTTCAGCAAGAGTTGGGGGACCTACTTCAATGTTCCATTCACACTGTCTGGGAATGGAGGGTAGTTGTAGAGTAGCTGAAGGCCAGCTGAACTGTTCTCTAAAATGTTCCGCCCATCGTTCTAAACGTCTGGACTGGGAGCAGATGAGTATCGTCTTTTTCCGAAATAATCTCACTTACACTTGACTTATTAATTCCAGTTTCTTTTATTAGTCTGTAAAGCTGTCTTGTGTTCCCTATAGTCGCCGCCTTTTCCATCTCTTTTGCTTTCGTTGCCCACCACTGCTCACGGTCGTTCCTTAGACTTTTTCTTAACCTAGATCTGATTTGTTGTCGCTCTTCATCATGTTCAGAACCTGATGGGACGAGTTTGCGAGAATCCATCAGTGTGATAGACCTTGAAGAAATCCACTGGTTCTTTGTAACTCTGTGGTTTAAGTCACTAATAGATGTCACTGCTGTTTCCACAGCTGTTGTATGCTTTCCAAGCAACATCTGGGTCAGCCTCGTCTTCACAACTACCTAAGTGTGACCTCAGTTGTTCCTGGAACCTACTTTTGGTTTTCTCGTTACTCAACTCAGTTCTAACGGGTCTTTTTAATGTGGCTTTTTTGCGTCCAGTGAGGCGCAAGCAGATGCGTGCCCGTATTAGGGCATGGTCGGAGTCCAAGCAGGTACTCCAGAATGAGCGACAATCTTCTACCGACCCTCTCCAACGATGACTGATGGCAATATGGTCTATTTGAGTCCATCGTTGGTTTGGTGTAGGGGGTCGCCATGTTAGACGATGTCTCTCCTTATGCTTAAAATTTGTGTTTGCTAAAAATAAACGATTGTCTGAGCACAGTTGCAGCAGACGATCACCATTATCTGTTCGCTGGTCGGAATACTAAAATATCCACCTAAATGCCTTTCTGTTTGGTTTAAACTACCTATCTGAGCATTAAAATCACCCCCTACGAGTACTATGTCTGAGCGTTTAGCTTTCTGAAGAAGTTCAGATAGCTTTCTGTAAAATTCATCTTTCACTTCATCTGAGCTGCAGTCAGTGGGAGCGTAGGCAGAAACGACAAAAAGGCAACGACGTGTGTCCCTATCCTTCCGAGTTCTTACGGAGCCGTTTAGCCGAACAGCACATAGACGACTGTTGACGGGGATCCACTCTAGCAGTGCTTGTTCGGCCCTCATGCTTAGTGCTATGCCTACACCTGCCAGTCCACGAGAACTGCCATCGGGTCACCAGATACACGGAGGGTGTATCTCGTTGGCTCTCCGTTTGCCGAGGTGAGGTCAAGTGAATGACCACACTGGGATCCTGTATGCGTGTTTCGGAGACACAGCATACATCAATGGAAAGAGACTCTAGGGTTTTAGCCAAGGAAGCCTGCTGACCGATTTGACATAGGGTGCGTACGTTGAAGGCTCCAATGTGTAGTTTGGAGCGAGGTTTCAGTAGACCTGGGACAGTGTTTTGAGCACTAGAATCGTTGGCTATGGTGACACTTGAGGAGGAAGCCGAGAAAGGAAGTTTAGAGTTGAAAGTCGATGTAGGAGGAATAATAGGAATTGAAGGCGGAGGTTGATTATGAATACAGTGGTCTTGAGTGCTGTTAGAAGTATGAGGGCGGTTATCACTTCCCGGTTGCCCACACCGTGGAAGGGTTGTTCTGGAGGTACCTGAAAAGGAAATTGGATTAGAGGTGGTCTTAGTGACCTGAGAGCGTGACCGCAGTGCCCAAGGGACAACTGCTTGAGGTCGGTCACACACGACCTTTTATGGGTAATTTTTGTGTTAGCTCCGTACTTATTGAGACCTTACCGCCGGAGACGGATATCCGTGGGATAAGGCGAGGTGTGCATTTTTAGGGTCGACCTTTTCTAACCCCACCCCTCCTTGTGGGAAGGCAGCATCGCTGTCATGCTGGTTGTCTGAAGGAAACACCTTACTGCTGTCACACCTCTGTACAGTCAGCAGTACGACTTCGCCTTCGGACCTTGGGTTTGTTGCTTTTAGTCTTACCGCTCTTCAACCGACCTGTCTGACATGGTAGGACCTTGAGGAACAGTTGTTCCAGCCAGTATAGCTCGGTTGCTTCATCACGATAGGCAAGCCCGACCACCACGTCAAGGTAGCAACAACGGTCGGGTTTGAGTTCTAGATATTCTTCAGTTGTAAATATGCTACTCTTGCTTTGCCGATTCGCGCCTTCACGTCTGCATCAGATCCACTGTGTTCATCAATTATGCTGCCCAGATATGTAAAGGTTTTTGCATCTTTTAAATCTTCTCCATCAAGTGTGGTTCAATTGAAATATAATTAGTATTAGACTTTAACATTACCGTTACTCAAAACATGTTGAATCAACAGAACATATACAAAATCAAACAGGATATATATATTTTATTCACGTAATAGTAGTCCGATTATACTGGAGAAAACAAAGAGCAACAATATACATAGTGGAAAAACCAAAACAACTAGGACATATGTATTTAACCACTTTACACCGACGTATCTCTCTAATTCTTTGAACACTTTGTAATAAAAAATGTATGAATGCCTTATTTTCTCTAAACATGTCTAGTCTTTTTTTACAATACTGGCCTTATCCTTTCGTATTTTTTGTAGGATCTTTTCAAAATTGTTTTGAAAAACCGTTAGATTCATTATTTTCTGTATGTAGCGTTGAATGGTCTGTTGAATTGGTTTTGACAATAATCTGGATTTGATAGGATATGTAATGGTTTTATATTCTCGTTTATCGCTATCATTTTTATTATTAACATTAGGATTTGACTGTTGGTCAGCTACTACTTCTGAATAAGACTCATCATTACATCCACCATCATTATCATTACCGATGTTGGTTTTCGGTTGATCTAAACTTTTAAATATAGTCAATGCCTAAAATTAATGATGGTAAACGGAAAAAGCGAGAGAGAGGGAAAAGAAGACAATTTCAGTAATAGCACATTTTCTACTATGAAAGAAAATTCAAAGAAACACTTGAAAAATTACGGCAACACCGTCTGGTATATTTCCAGATACACCATGATCTATACTGAATAAATACAGTACATAATTGAAGATATGCACTACTGACATATTGAATAAAGAGTAATGTTATTTCTCTACACAAATTACTTAAGTGTGAAGGGATCGCTTTGATAGTCAAATAATTCAACTTTTAACCATTAGATCGGAGATTTGAACCCTAATTCACCTATTTTGGTTTCGGAAGCCGGGTGTAGATCTGATTCATATAGAATGAAATGCGATGTAATCTGTAGAGCTATGTAAGTAGTATAGTTGGAACAAGTTTCATGAAGATTTACTAAATCACATCAGCTATGATGCCAGAAGTCTTTTAATAATTTTCACTTACCATCAAACTTTACAGTTACGCAAGAAGCTGAATTAAAAATACCATTTCTTAACACTTACATACTAAAAGAAATAACTGAATACTCAAAATGTTTGTATAAACAGAAAAAAAACATAGAATGAACAACTAACAGAGTTATCGAGTTTGGTTCTGATAACAAGGCAATGATATGTTATTCATCCATTATACTTTAGATATATCATGAAATTTGTTCATTAGAATAATTGGAGAACGAACTAACCAAGAACGAATCTTATACGTTTCTATCCAATGATTTCAGTTTTTCCTCGACTTGTATTGTCTGTGTCTAGTCCTTTCTACTATAACTAAAACCGTTACTATATTGGCATTTCTCTTGATAATTTCATCTAGTTGTGCTGATATGATAAAGCCATTTTTGTGGTGTGGGTTACTTATATCCACATAAGTAGTATGTAACGATGGTCAGGCATAGAATGTGTTTCAGTAGAAGATCGATAAGGGAAGAACGGAAACGGAAAGCAATTGGTATGAAAATGCATGAACGATGAAATTTGAGACAATGGACTGATATTTGCGAAAGGAACAGTCAAGTTTGAGACGATGGATTGATATTTTGCAAATTAACTATTTACTATATGGTTCTCAGATTTTAGTGAGATGTTCTGTGTATTTGTGGTCAAATACATTCGAGTAATCCACTCATGTTCGTGTTTACTACATTTTAACTGATACACAAATTTGTCAGCCTCTTTTACATTGCATATGACTGACTGAAGCCAACCAAATCCAACACATTTTTAAAATTTCAATTTGAGAACGACATTTCTAATGATATACTTGAAAATTATCTGAAAAGATCAATTCAAAAACATTCCATGCAGCAAATCTCTACATAAACTACTCTAATAGCCTGTTTATATGCTTCTGCATAAAAGACAGGTTACTACTAATGACCAATTGTACTTGTTTGTACCAGTTTTCCAGGTCCTGTATAACCATGTGTGTAGGTCGCCCATCAAAGCTGCTTCTTCAATACATCCAGAAACTTATAACTGAATGCCAGTATCCAAGTCAGTAGATCCAAAGGCGGCTAACGATGATAGTTAACAGAAAATATTCATTTCAATCTATATTAAGGAAACTAATCAGATCAAATACATGGTCAACGAGGCAATTGTCAAAAAAACACAAACATAAACTAGAAAAACAAAGACTTAAAATCAGTAGGCATAGACGCCTAAGGAAACAAGAGAACTAAATCAGACATTACTTTTCTTCAAATCACTCAAACACTTCCAAAAATAGATCAGAATGAGGATTTTGGAGGGGGTGTATTCTTTGGTCTGAATGGTCCAGTAGACGAACCACACAACACCGAATATAAAGATGGTGACAGAAAGTAAAATACATTTTTGAAAGGTTAGGCTTAAGCTTATAGCGAGTAATAAATTGAACTAACGTCGTTTTGACGTTGTAAGAAATGTGGACAAATTCCAAGATTGATTAAACTCACTTGAGTAACCATTGATGCAACATCACCACTATGAGATGGTAATAATACTGTATTAGTTGTCTTCGCTAAAGCACTGAAAGCTTCTATGTACTGTTCAGCTACTGTAAGCTGTACTGCATCTGCTCCACGCTGAAAATAAAATACAAACAGGAAAGTGAATCATTAGTACGGTTATAGAAAACCTTTCTAATTGTAAAATCACAGAAAACTCGGTGAATATATGATAGTTCATTGGGTTCAAAGGTACTCTACTTTCATTATGGCGACTTCCTGTTTTATGCTCTAAACGATCACAGTTAATTTTTTTTAGACATTGTAAGATTCACTGAAATAAGGCACTCAAGGTCAACCAACATAAGACCATCTTTGCATCTCGTAATATATATATATATATATATATATATATATATATAGACCATAATAGTTAGCTAAGATTAAAACCCACATTCCAAGTGATGAACCTAGGAACAACAGTTAATTATCAGAACAGAAAGGCACAAAAATAACCGGTTGAAAATGGCCGGATATATAATATATGTAACAACCAACAAGAGGAAAATCAGTTTACAATAGTTACTTAAGCATGTTACAAATGTCATTCCAGAGACTTTCAGATTGTATTTGATTTGCTAACGCCAAACTGGTTGGAAAAAGAGAAGTGGTCAGTGCATGGCACGACGCCGGAGTATGTAAAAAAGCTGTATAGAACTGGAATCTGTCGGTTTATTACAGTTGAGGTCTTCGAGATGATACAAATGAGTGGCTTGGGACGTTGATATATATAACCCAAAATACGAGCGGACAGTGTTCTTTTCTGTAATTTACCTTTGTACTCTTTACAAAAGTAAGGAAAACTTCTTCAACTGAAAAATCCTCGCTGATTTTTTTCTCCTATTATTATTAACTATTCGCGTTCACTTGTTTCTACTCATTTAGTTCATTTTACTCCCTCTCGTTCCTCTAACACTTTACAATCTCATTTTCGTAACTTTATGGAGGATATTTATTTTGGTACCCATATACACCAATATGTGTTTAAATATTTACATAAAAATTAGGATTGACTAATGAAACATGAGAAGTTATATGACAAATAAAACTGACTACTCATAAGTAAGGCAGTTACAAAACATATCTCACGAACGTGTCAATATATACTAATTAGTACAACACTTGGAATTCCATTTTTAAAACTATACAACTGGAAAGAACATAAAACCACATTTATATTCTACTAAGTTATAAAACTTGAATATTCCTAATTTTTAAGTCTCATTTGATGACATTTAATACTTTTAGCCTGGTACATACCACTAAACAATTAAGCGCCTCAAATGGATTTACACGAACATTCATCAATATTAGAACACATCGTTTGTCAAAAATTGGGCACCGAGTATAAAGAAGCCATTATATATGAAAGTTATATTTGAAATAATCTCAGCGATCGGAATTTTTCAACCTTCACTTTTGTTTTTTTCCTTCACACAAAGACAAATTTAACAACTAATATCAACTATTAGTAACTCAACCTTACACACACACACACATAATTCATTCAGTCATTTAGCTCCACATCGTGAACTTTTCACATGAGTCGCATTTAACTGACTCATGTTATCCTATTTACTAGAGTCAATACCTAAACAAGATTGGATTAGTACAGTATTGGTTTGATGGTGTTGATTATTACCCTGAAGAAGTCTAGACAAGTGTGCTGGACGAAACGTTGAGATTATTTAAGATTTCAATCGCTGAGATTATTTCAAATGTAAGTTTCACTTGTAATGAACTGAAATGGATGCTTGAATTTCTAAAAATGAAAAAATAAAAATAAACATTCAAAAGGTGTATAATTCTTTTAGTACAGAATAAATTTATCCTAAAAACTTTAGTGATAACTTTCAATGTACTGAAATATATTGCTTACCTTAGTACCGATTGCACGAGCAATGGTTTGGATAGACTGAGCTCGAGCTTCTGCTAGACGTTGGATAGCCTCCGCTTCACCTAAACATTAAGAGGGAAAATCAAATCAAAATTCTTCCGTTTAATATACAATAAAAAAAATCCTGGAACCATAGAGTATCAAGATGTTTTAGAATGATAATCTTTACTACTTCCAAAAACACGTTTCTTTATCTTTGTGATGGGATTTCATCAAGATAGTTTATATGCTACGTACATTATTCGTTTTGATGACCGTTATTAGTTAACTCCCAATGCTGTACAAATTTCAAAAGACAATACAAAACGTTGACTACATTTTATACAGCTGATGGTAGAACTCAACTTTGGTTAGATTTAAGCTGAAGTCCATCGAAACGTAAGGAGAAATAAAGTGGAAACATCATTTTATTGGCAGTTACTTTCGTGCTAGAAGAACATGAGCAACAGTAAGTGGGGAGAAAACTCATTAGTACAGCTTAATGATACACGCTGACAAGACTGGAATTCAGTGTAAGTCGCCGAAAAAGTGAAAAAAGAACGCATTTACAAATCTACAAGCACATCACGAATCGAAAACACTTCACCGAAATCTTTAGCACGGATCTATAGGATACAGAACCAATCATAAGCCCGTTGTGCGATCGATATTAAGGTTAGAATATTAAATAACTGCTTCAGATATGACGTTCGATGACAGCTCCCAAGACAACCATATAGCGAATTGAAATCATTTAGATAGAATGGGATATGCTATATAAACGAACTGGTAAATGGAAGATTAAGACTGATATCAGAAATATAAGCACAATGGGATTGGAACGGCACAAATTTAACATAGTATGAAACGAAACACTGTAGTCTGTAAGGTGAGCGATTCGTAATTTTAGCTTCTCTAATTAGTAGTTATCGTGATTGGTGTGATGCAGAAACAGTATTTGGGCCGTCAAACCGAAATAGGTCACTTCCTTAGATAACCAGTCTCGAGTCCATCAACGTTTCCCTGTCTGTGTTATTTCGGTCACATACAAATACAATTGATTGATCACTGGGTGGTGATCAATGTCATGCGTGTCTAGTCCTTATTAGTGCAGATCGAATGTTATCAATCATGTTGCAATGTGGCCACCAATCTAGGTGGCTCGACACTGTGGGCACTATATATTGTGATTAGATGGTAATTGGAGGTAGTCGACAGGAAACCCTGGATCCGGGTTTCGCGCTATTTGGCACTCGTCAGCAAGGTGTAACTGTAATATTGAGGGAACTGGTTCTCCCTGGCGGATTCGATCTCGTGTCACCCAGCTTCACAGTCAGAGACGCTACCACTGAGCCCTAGCTGTATATTCAAAGCCTATGTCGTCATTGTCGTCCCATTTCCGCAATCGGGGTGCTCAAGTGTTATGAGCGTACGTAATAGTTGAACCGGGCAGAATATTATGACGATTATGCAGCATTCAACTAAAGTTTTAGAAACTATGAAACTCGTTATCTCAACAAATCAGATATGTCTTGGGAACAATGACTTCAATTACGATGGTATTAGCAGTGTTCGTATTTCGGATAAATATCTATGAAATCTTTAGTGCAAAATGAGCAGCACAGTAACAACGAAAACTGAACACTTACCTGAAGCTTTATTTACGATTTGAATCTGGTGACCTTCTGACTCTAATACCTGGCTACGTTTTAAACCCTCAGCTCGATTAATAGCAGCCTCACGTTGTCCTTCTGACTCTAAAATGGATGCACGCTTTTTTCGTTCTGCTTCAACTTGCATTTGCATAGCTTCTTTGATTTTTTGTGGCACCTGAACATCGCCTAAAATGCGTATATAAATATATCACAATCACATCACAACTATATTCTACTTACGAATTTCATAACGCAAACACTCAATACCCCAAGGCTCTGATGCTTTGCCTAAAGCTTGTACGATTTGAAAATTCAATGCTTCTCGTTCTTTAAAAACATTATCCAGAATTATCTTCCCGATTTCTGATCGCATAATTGTTTGAGCTAACTTTAATTATCAAAGAAAAAAGGATTCTGAAGTTAAATTGAAGCGAACGGTTTAAATAAAAATGTAATGAAACCTCAACGATAAAACACTGGATATCTAATAGTCCAAATTTACAAAACAACTCCGTATAAAAGACTTCTTTTGAGATTTTGTGAAACACTCGATCACAACAGGTTGGTCCATCTGAGGAAATGCATTTGGAGGTCAGTTACATATTTACTTACGCCTGTTACCCCTCATCGAAGAGCATAGGCCACCCATCATCACTCTACATTCAACTCTGTCCTGGACAATTTACAACGATTAGTACAGACAATCAATAATTTTTATCTTCCCAACTGATTTCACTGGCGAATATGCAAATTCATTCTATAAACTCTTAAATGAGTTGTCTTTATATGCTTTGCGTAGCCTTACATAACATGGTACAGTAGTTTGCTACAACTACACTATTATTTCTGTGGTAGTGTAGATATCAGTCAGTCAGTCAGCTACAACGTAGGACCAGGCACATATGTGCATCGGTCCAGGTTGCCATACCTCATTAGCACAGCAAGATGAACACCGGATTCATAAAAGTAGTTAGTTCAGAGGTGGTAATATATAGGAGGATTGCAATAAGGATATAGTATAGGAAGAAAGAATTAGTTCGTAGAAAGAAAGATATGAAGTGATTTTAATCTCTTAGTTTAAGGAAGACAGGGAGTGTATACACCGACGCCATTGTGATCGATTCTGAGCCATGTCACCAAGAGTCTCCAACCATTGGTTACGAAAGTCACGCGGACCCCAACCAAGTAGTCTGCATCTACCAACATGGCTCAGACTAGAAGTTAGTGACTTCAGGCACTGATGCCACGTTTTGGTTTGGCCGCCCCTAACTTTCTTCCAACCATCCCCTACACCGGTTAGCATTGCACGTCGTGGTAATCGGTGTTCAGGCATACGTAACACGTGGCCCAACCATCTCAGTCGATGAAGATTCATAACCTCATCAACTGATTTACCATCATTCCCTAATACCCTGCGTCTAACCTCACTATTACTTACCCGGTGATCCCAGCAGATGCCAGCAATATTTCTAAGGCATCTGTGGTCAAATACTAGTAGCTTACGGGTGTCTTCTACTCTTAAGGGCCATGTTTCGCTGCCGTAAATTAAAACAGAACGGACTGCCGCGCAGTATACTCGTCCTTTTATTGATAGACGGATATCTCGCCTCCGCCAAAGGTGACGTAAGTTGGCAAAAGCCAAACGAGCTTTTCGAATCCGTGCTGAGATTTCGTCAGACACCAACCCATTAGGGCTGATCAGACTTCCAAGATAAGTGAAGTTGTCAACGCGTTCGACTACTTCACTCCCTATCCTTAGTTCAGGTGTTGACGCAGACCAGTCCTGAAGCAACAACTTGCATTTAGAGGGAGAGAAGCGCATCCCAAACATTCTGGCATTGTTGCTTAGTGCTACCAGAAGACTCTGCATTTTGTCAGCGTCTTCACCAAACAGGACTATGTCATCTGCGTATTCTAAGTCGATAAGTGGACCTCCTGGAAGGAGATCAATACCCGAGAATTCAGTCGACGAGAGTGTTATTTCCATCAATAGGTCTATGATGAAGTTAAACAAAAATGGGGAAAGTGGGCAGCCTTGACGGACACCACTTGAGGTTGCAAAAGTAGATGACAGTTCGCCATAAGCCCTGACTCGACTAGTAGTGTTCGAGTAAAGAGCCTTCACAAGGTTTATGTACTTCTGAGGTACGCCTTTCAATGACAGACACTGCCACAGAATCTCGCGGTCTACAGAGTCAAATGCTGCTTTTAAGTCAAGAAAGACCACCATCGTCGGACGCCGATAAGTATGCCTGTGTTCTAGAACCTGACGAATGGTGAATATGTGGTCGATGCAGCCACGACCAGGTCTAAAGCCAGCTTGGTTCTCTCGTGTTTGTAGTTCACGAGTCTTAGTTAGGCGTTTGATAATTATCGAGGCCAGTATTTTAGATACTATGTTTGTTAAACTAATCCCTCTGTGGTTGTCACAGGATGATTTTGACCCTTTCTTATATATTGGGACGATAAGTGATTGCGACCAGTCAGATGGGATAACGTCTAATTCCCAGATCTTAGCTAAAATATTAGTCAACCTAATCGCTAAAATTGGACCACCATCCTTAAAGACCTCTGGAGCCAATCCATCTGGACCAGCTGCCCTTCCTCGTTTCAGATTAACTATAGCCTTCTCAACTTCAGCAAGAGTTGGGGGACCTACTTCAATGTTCCATTCACATTGTCTGGGAATGGAGGGTAGTTGTAGAGTAGCTGAAGGCCAGCTGAACTGTTCTCTAAAATGTTCCGCCCATCGTTCTAAACGTCTGGACTGGGAGCAGATGAGAGTATCGTCTTTTTCCGAAATAATCTCACTTACACTTGACTTATTAATTCCAGTTTCTTTTATTAGTCTGTAAAGCTGTCTTGTGTTCCCTATAGTCGCCGCCTTTTCCATCTCTTTTGCTTTCGTTACCCACCACTGCTCACGGTCGTTCCTTAGACTTTTTCTTAACCTAGATCTGATTTGTTTACGCTCTTCATCATGTTCAGAACCTGATGGGACGAGTTTGCGAGAATCCATCAGTGTGACAGACCTTGAAGAAATCCACTGGTTCCTTGTAACTCTGTGGTTTAAGTCACTAATAGATGTCACTGCTGTTTCCACAGCTGATTGTATGCCCTTCCAAGCAACATCTGGGTCAGCCTCGTCTTCACAACTACCTAAGTGTGACCTCAGTTGTTCCTGGAACCTACTTTTGGTTTTCTCGTTACTCAACTCAGTTCTAACGGGTCTTTTTAATGTGGCTTTTTTGCGTCCAGTGAGGCGCAAGCAGATGCGTGCCCGTATTAGGGCATGGTCGGAGTCCAAGCAGGTACTCCAGAATGAGCGACAATCTTCTACCGACCCTCTCCAACGATGACTGATGGCAATATGGTCTATTTGAGTCCATCGTTGGTTTGGTGTAGGGGGTCGCCATGTTAGACGATGTCTCTCCTTATGCTTAAAATTTGTGTTTGCTAAAAATAAACGATTGTCTGAGCATAGCTGCAGCAGACGATCACCATTATCTGTTCGCTGTGTCGGAATACTAAAATATCCACCTAAATGCCTTTCTGTTTGGTTTAAACTGCCTATCTGAGCATTAAAATCACCTGCTACGAGTACTATGTCTGAGCGTTTAGCTTTCTGAAGAAGTTCGGACAGCTTTCTGTAAAATTCATCTTTCACTTCATCTGAGCTGCAGTCAGTGGGAGCGTAGGCAGAAACGACAAAAAGGCAACGACGTGTGTCCCTATCCTTCCGAGTTCTTACGTAGCCGTTCAGCCGAACAGCACATAGACGACTGTTGACGGGGATCCACTCTAGCAGTGCTTGTTCGGCCCTCATGCTTAGTGCTATGCCTACACCTGCCAGTCCACGAGAACTTGCCATCGGGTCACCAGATACACGAAGGGTGTATCTCGTTGGCTCTCCGTTTTGCCGAGGTGAGGTCAAGTGAATGACCACACTGGAATCCTGTATGCGTGTTTCGGAGACACAGCACACATCAATGGAAAGAGACTCTAGGGTTTTAGCCAAGGAAGCCTGCTGACCGATTTGACATAGGGTGCGTACGTTGAAGGCTCCAATGTGTAGTTTGGAGCGAGGTTTCAGTAGACCTGGGACAGTATTTTGCGCACTAGAATCGTTGGCTATGGTGACACTTGAGGTGGAAGCCGAGAGAGGAAATTTAGAGTTGAAAGTCGATGTAGGAGGAATAATAGGAATTGAAGGCGGAGGTTGATTATGAATACAGTGGTCTTGAGTGCTGTTAGAAGTATGAGGGCGGTTATCACTTCCCGGTTGCCCACACCGTGGAAGGGTTGTTCTGGAGGTACCTGAAAAGGAAATTGGATTAGAGGTGGTCTTAGTGACCTGAGAGCGTGACCGCAGTGCCCAAGGGACAACTGCTTGAGGTCGGTCACACACGACCTTGTTATGGGTAATTTTTGTGTTAGCTCCGTACTTATTGAGACCTTACCGCCGGAGACGGATATCCGTGGGATAAGGCGAGGTGTGCATTTTTAGGGTCGACCTTTTCTAACCCCACCCCTCCTTGTGGGAAGGCAGCATCGCTGTCATGCTGGTTGTCTGAAGGAAACACCTTACTGCTGTCACACCTCTGTACAGTCAGCAGTACGACTTCGCCTTCGGACCTTGGGTTTGTTGCTTTTAGTCTTACCGCTCTTCAACCGACCTGTCTGACATGGTAGGACCTTGAGGAACGGTTGTTCCAGCCAGTATAGCTCGGTTGCTTCATCACGATAGGCAAGCCCGACCACCACGTCAAGGTAGCAACAACGGTCGGGCTTAGTGTAGATATAATGCAAATTATCATGCTCCAGTATCTACAAAGTAAGCTTCTTGATTAATTTACTCACCGAATCTATTTTCAACTTCGTAAAAACATCTAGTCAGTTTCATCTGAGTATTTAGTGACTAAGACATGATCAAAACGCAATTGACAAACTCAATGAACCTCTTCAATGCCATTTAGCAATGACCTGTAAGGTTCCAGGTTGTTTCTTTTTGTTCATACTTCACTAATTCTTGATATTGGAGTTGAACGATATTCACAGTTTGAAATTAATACAATCAATACGAAATACACGTAAACGTTTACATTTCTTAATCTACAAATACTCGACATAGACAAGCAAAGTTACATATTTTATTGCGATTTAAGGCAATCACTATAATATAACAGCAACTATCTATTCAAAAGTACAATTAGTTTCTCATATCCTAGATGGCCTGAAGACAAGTCGCAAAAAAGTGATATTTCTTACAACTAATTTTGACTGTCATATATAAAGAGAAATATAATTTAAATAAGTTGACGACAATAGGAAAAACTAAAAATGTACCTGGGTAATTGCAAATTCAGCCTCGGACACCCCATATGATGCCAAATAAGGATTTTGACCTTAAGGAAGAGAACACCGTTCAATTGTAAAACGACATTATCTAGAATTAAAATGTTAATCATTTAGATTATCGTTCATCTTTAACGATTATTATAAATTTAAAACATTTAGTCCCTTTGATAAATTTTGATAATGCAATGAGAAGACGAAGTTTATCAGAATTATGTAATATATTTGCGCAATACATTTCGAATAATCTGATCACCATATACTTGTTAAGACATTTTTATATGAGAACTAAAAGGTCAACTAGACAGATTAAAGGTAAGTCGTAACAAAGAAAAATAAAGTACACGAAAACAATGTGGTAACAAATCTGGATAATAAGTCAGTATTGCCAGGGTAGGTTAAGTGTAAGAACAAATTGTTTTTGAACACATAAAGAGGGTTTCAGTTTCCGTATATCCAAGGCTTCAATAAACCTTAGTATACGCTCCTGAAGGCTTTTGTACAACGCCACATATGCGGACTTGATATCAACCTTATTACCAGTTTCAACTAAATGCTTTGCAATAGATGAAGATGTCTATCTGTGATCGTATTTGACCATTGGAATTCATTATCATAAACTTTATTGAAGAATATTAAAGCAGTTGCATTTAAACTCTCAGTAGTTAGTGGAAAAAGACAGAATCCACTCTCATACAAATGCAATAAGACTTTGAAAAGTATCACATTTATCCCTTCAACTTTTAGCAAATTTGAGATTATGTGAGGATGAACAATAGTTCAGCATTAATCAACTCCATAAATCTTGAAAGCATGATGAACTAAGACTATTAATCAATGTTAAATTTATCGAAGCGTCCAAATCATCAGATTGAGATACGCGCAAAATTGAAGTTCACAAAACAACGATTGGTTTAAAAAAGCGGATCAAACATAGTCTAGACGAAGGTTGCAAATAAATGACTATATCTTCTGAGAATTAGATGCACAGGACAAAGCCACTAGAAGGCTAGTGATGAAGTTAGATGTAGAGTAATAGTGATAGGTAATGAATAAGTAACCTTCATCGACCGAGATGGCCAGAACATTAGTTATGCAACCCAAAAAAACTGCCTGCGACACTGACTATATCTGTTTTCGTTTCCATTTCTGTAGTTAATATCACTTGTTTCATTTTCGCTTCACCAAGCAAGTTTTTCACATTCAAAAGTTTTAACTAGTCTAAATCGCTTCGGATATTAAGATGGTTATGTTCGTGAAAATAAGTGACTTATAAATCTTGAAATCGTACATATTACATTAGCTACTTTCAATACATCCGCCAGCACACTGATGATCGGACAACATACAAGTTCCGCTAAAACTCTAAAACACGTTAATCTTGAGAGCCTAAAATTCTATTAAATTGCTACAAATAAATTATTTACTTGTTACCTTGTATTATGTGAACCTAAAGAGGCTGAAAATTAACTTCCTGATGTTCATTCAGCTTTAAATGCTTGAGGTAAGCGTCCACAAGAGCAGTTGCAAGGGTAAATAAATATAGACCAAACAGAAAACTTGTCTACAATGAGAAGCAGAACTGTATAGGAAGTAAACAACGCTGCAAGTATCCCGACAATCAAATGAAACTATGAAGAACATCGGTAAAAAAGATCAACTAATGTGCACTAAAATCATCAGTCTGACACGCACCGTGGCTAAAATATTGCAAACTATCATACTGCACAGATAAGGAAAAGACGCGGTAAAGATTAGTGTATGACTGAAATGGTCTTACAACTAGTTTATGTGTATAGTTTATTTGCGGATAAATTGCTGGAAAATGTGGTTGTAGGCTTAGTATGTTTAAAAAAGATTAAGAAATAACGTATCTGATTACCTGATGTAATGGCTGACTGATCTGGAATTTCAATGGCCACTTCTTTCAGTGACTGTACATAAGCGACGCGATCTAGAATGGGTATACAAAAATTGAGTCCCTGTGATACGTTGTCAGGGATGAAATTTTCAAAGACTAACTGGTTCCAGTGTCCTGTGGAATTTTCCTAACCTTTCAATAACCCATGCTTCTTTCTCTGGAACGATCAATATCCCTATATTTATAGGTGCTCGTGATGTGTAATCACGACTGCTAGCATATACCTAATGAAATAAAAACATTCATATAGAAAGTGAGAATAAATAGTTTGCATGGTCACCCATAAACATAGGTTAGTCACATAATTGGCTACTCTGAAAAGGACATAAAACGTAAGCTCAGCCCAATGACTATTTCCAATGAATTTTTCCCATATTCCTGTAATGTATAGGCAATCCCAGTTCCGAAAGCACGACACAGAGATAATCACTAATCTCACAATGTTAATGGGTCAATATGACTTCTAAGAGCCACTCTCAATCTGTCGGTTTCATACACTGCCATATAGTTTAAGTACTACAACTGTATAAACAATCAAGTTTATGAACCGATATAATGACGAGGGGTTTCCTCAAAGTTGTTGAAAATTCTGGGGGAATATTGGTGAAAAACACGATTTCAGGGAAATTTAACCAAAATTACTGAGAATCTTGATGTTTTATTTATAAATATAGACAGATTTCCGCAGTGTTATGAGACTCTGGAGAAGTTTTGAATATCTCCAGAAACACTCGAGATCTCCTCAGTTCTGGAAAAATTTTGTTTTTGTGCCATTTCCCTGAAATTGGGAGGTTGGTAGTAATGATATGAGCTATTCAGGACATGACCCCCAGTTGATATTAATTATATCCCAATATTAGTTGGGTTCGTAGTAAATATAATCGCACCTAAAACCGAGACAAGACAACAAATCGGGCGCGAAAACAGTACCAGAGTTTTAACTACAGCTAACTGCTTGTAAGAGCTATCAACATCCCAGAAAACAGTTTGCATGCATGAGCGTCTTACATAGTAGTATTTCACCCTTTGCTAAAACTATAACAATTACAACCATCATATTGTTAAATAATTGTATAGAATGGCATTTTGGAAGCATTTACAAATCAAAGGCACAGCTAACCCTGGAAAGTCGACAAGTTGAACGGCCAATCACATTACGAATCATGTTGATTGTGACCCACAGACTTAAATTCCCTCCTTCACGAAATCCAAATAGTTCAAATGGTTCAAATGGTTGTGGACGGAATAGAAGAAGCTTTCGCTTAACAGGCTTCCGTGTCTAGTAGCAGGGGATCACCAAATCCTCCAGGCAGGAACCTAGGTATGTTAACAATAAAAGAGGAAAAGAAATTGGTAAATCATAGTGTGATGCTGTCCTTGGTCCTTAAGAATAGGTCAAGTTGCCTCTTGAAGGACTCCTGAGAAGTCGCTTGGACTAGCTCGGCTGGCAGCGAATTCCAGCTTTTGACAACTCTTAAGGAGTAGAAGTTGTGTCTACATTCCGTCTTGCTATGTTGTGTTTCCAGTTTCTGGGTGTTACCCCTTAGGTTATTATTCGAACTAAGCTTAAGTAGGTGTTTAAGAGGATGTCCAGAAGTGTTAAGAATACTATAAGCCATTAATAAATCACCTCTAAGACGCCTATATTCTAATGGGTAAAGGTCTAGTGAACGGAGGCGTTCTTCGTAAGGCTTAGATTTGAGTCCTCGAACTGATTTCGTGGCTCGCCGTTGGATACGCTCCAAAGTGACCTTGTCCTTTTGGAGTGAGGGGGGAGTACTATGTTTCCGTACTCTAAATGGGGACGGATGAAACTATTGAAGATTGTGTGGAAAGTTCGTCCGTCAAACTGTCCAAAAATGCGCTTCAACGTTACCAGTGCAAGGTTTGCTCGGAAGGCATTTTTGTCACAGTTAGCGTAAGACTTTAAATCATGGGGCACCAGGACTCCTAAATCTTTTTCGACTTGGGATACTACTAGAGAGGAGTTTCCTAAGTTGTAACTGTAGTTTGCAACATGTCGCAGATGGACTACTTTACACTTTGAAGTGTTAAAGGTAAGTCCGTTATCGTCTGCCCAACTTTGAAGTCGAGTCAGATCCTCCTGAAGTGCCTGTATATCGTCTTGGTTGCGTATCTCTCTCCAAAGTTTCACGTCGTCGGCAAAAAGTAATAAGTCTGACGTTACCTGTTGAGGAAGATCATTTATGTAGATCAAGAAGAGAAGAGGCCCTAGTACTGAGCCCTGGGGGACCCCACTAGGACATTCCATAGCCTGAGATAAAGTGAAATTAACCCTAACCTTAAAGTGTCGATTTTTTAGGTATGAAGTAAGCCAATCGATTAGAGGTGGTTTGATACCTAGTCGTTTGAGCTTGTTGATAAGACACAAGTGGTTAACCTTATCAAAAGCTTTTGAGAAATCAAGGTAAATGACATCAACCTTTCCCTTGCAATCGAGGATGCTTGTCCATCTGTCCACCGCAGTCAGCAGGTTGGTTATACAAGAGTAACCCTTCCTGAAACCATGCTGTTGGGGTGAGAAGAAATTTAAGGACAGTAGATAGTCATTTAAACCGTCGCATATCAGGGACTCCATGAGTTTTGAAGGTAATGACAGAAGAGCCACCGGCCGATAACTTGAAGGTTCATTGCGTCGACCACCTTTGAAAATTGGTGTGATGTGAGCCAACTTCCAATTTTCCGGTAATTTGCCTCGGCTAAGCGAGTGTGAAAACATCACGCTAAGCGGCGTTGCCAGGATTGAGGCTGCCTCCCTCAGTATGGCAGGATGAACCATATCCGGGCCAGGAGAAGTGTGTAATCTTAAGTGCTGCAATTTCCGGAACACCAAGTCAGCGCTTAGGTCCACTTCAGAAAGTCCTGTGGAATTGCAGATGAAACTGTCGTCAGTAAAGTTGATGTCAGCCGGTTGAAATGTTTGAGAGTAATGTGCCGCCAGAAGGTTAGCGGCGTCGCCATCGTTGTTGGTCGGGCCGTTAAGACCTACCAGTTGAGAAACTCCTGTTTTGGCTTGACGAAGAGAGGCTGCATAACGGAATAGGCTTCTAGGGTTAGAGGCGAATTTGTCCATAAGCTTTGTTTGGTACTGAAGCCTGTCTTCTCTTATAGCCTTCGTGCATATGTTCCTGATATGTTTATATTGCCTATACGCTCCATCGTTATTAGTTCGTTTGTATTCCGCCCAACAGTGCCTTTTGCGGCTTAGCAGGCGAAGGGTACGGTTCTTGATTACTGTAGGTGGCTTGCAGCTTTTGGGAACCGTTTGAGGAACTGAATGGTTGTAGCACATAAGAGCGTGTGCAGTAAGAAGTCCCAATGACCATCCACATCGAGTTGAGGGTGAACATCCCAAACCACCTGTTGTAGATAGTCATGTAGAGCTGGCACATTCAGCCGTTTAAAATTCCAACGCAAATTATTGTTGGGATACCTTAGCTTAGTTTTGATGACAAAACTGAAGGCTATGACGGCATGATCGCTCTTTCCCAGAGGAGCCAGGATTGAGAGGTTGTCGACTAGGAATTCTTCGTTAGTGAATACACAGTCTAAGCGCGATGGTGTCTGACTGTTTCTCCAACGAGTTGCCGACCTCACATTTTCATATAAGCCCAAGTCATCGATGAGGTTTAAGAACCGAGCTTCAATTGAGTTGTCGCCTCCAGTGTACGTGTGTTCCGCGAAGTTGACTCTAGGGAGATTAAAGTCCCCTAGAATCAGGATGTGTGTGAAACCGAGACGGATAGAGCGGGATAGTCCTTCCAGCATACGACTATCGTACTCGATGTCGGCAGTTGGCTTCCTGTAAATGACTCCGACTAGACACCTCGAAGTACTAGACAATCTTACAGAGCACCATATGGATTCCTCAAGATTGTTAAACTCGAGGTTGTGAACTTGGTGCACCTCCAAGCAAGAGCTTATGTATATGGCTACTCCGCCCCCAATTCCTGTTTTTCTGTCGTTGCGGAACAAAGTCATCCCAGGTAATGCTAACTCTTGGTCCGAGAACTGAGAAGATATCCAGGTTTCAGATATTCCTATCAGATGGGCCTTATTAGCGTTGCTAAGTTCACGTAATTCATCCAGTTTGTTTGGTAAACTCGCGGCGTTCGTATATAAGCAGTTTATGCTTTCAATTTGGAACGCGTGAGCTTCGTCCTGTTTTTCTGTATGAGCCTTATGTGAATGGACAGGTAGCCCACCTATATGAGGTTTGCCGAGGTGGTAGGCCCTGTCCTTTACACGTTTTTTTATCATTTAGACAGTCCACAAGTGGAATGGTCAGCTCCAACTTGCTTTTGTGCTTGGTCCTAGCTTCATATGGCCTATCCGGGTGCATGTGGATTCCAGGTGGCAATCGAATGGTTCAAATAGTTTTTGCGACATAAAAGCTTTCGCCTAACGGGCTTCCGTGTCTAATAACAGTAGATCACCAATAATTCAGGCAAGAAACAAGATATATTACCGATAGTAGAGGAAAGAAAATAAATTAGTAAACCAGATTAACATAAATAGGCGAAGAGACATCGGTCGTTAACTTAAAGGTTCGCTGCTCCGAACACTTTTGGAAATCGGTGTGATGTGAGCCAGCTTCCAAATTTCCGGTAGTTTGTCTTGGTTTAACGAGTGTGAGAACGTCACGCTAGACATTGTTGTCAGGATTGAAGCTGCTTCTTTCATTATAGCAGAACGAGCCATATCTGGACCAGGAGAATTGTCTTTTTTAGGTGCTGCAGTTTCCGGTACACCAAGTCAGCGCTCAGGTTCACTTCGGAAAGTCCTGTGCAATTGCAGATGAAGCTGTCATCAGTAAAGTTGATGTGGATCGGTTGAAATGTCCCAGAGTATTGTTCACTCAGAGGGTTAGCGGCGTCACCGTCGTTACTCATAAAACTAGAGGCTGTGACGGCGTGATCGCTTCCACCCAGGTGAACCAGGATTAAGAGGTTGTCAACTGGGAATTCTTCGCTTGTAAATATCCAGTCTAGGCGCGATGGTGTTTGACTATTTCTCCAAGGAGTTGTCGGATTCATATTTTTGAATAATCTCAGATCCTGAATGAGGTTGAAGAACCGAGCTTCAGTTGAGTTTTCACCTCCAATATACGTATGTTCCGCGAAATTTAATCTAGGGAGATTGAAGTCCCCTAGAATCCGGATATGAGTGAATCCGAGACGCGTAGAGCGGAATAGTCATTCCAACATACTCGATGTCAGCAGTGGGCTTCCTATAGGGCCTGCGAAATGTCATTAAGCCCTAGCCATATCATCCAGCATTCGAGTCATTGAATATCGAACAACTCGTCGATCCTCGTCAAGGTCGAGGACAACCAACGTGCATCAGTTAATCGTATGCCATGGACTGGCCCATGCGGCAGTGGTCTTACTTTCGCTTGTATCTACTTTAGCTAATATATTTCTGTAATAACGTCCTCTGTGTTACACAGTCTTCAAAGCATCTATGGTGCCCTGATACGTTAATGGGGTACTTCACCTGAGGTACTGAACACGAGGTGTGACTTCAATGTTAGCTAGTTTGTCACACCGTTCACGTGTAACACGGGTAGGCCTCCAATCATCACGACATAGATCATCTACATTGGTGATCTACAGTCAGCAGCGGGCTTCCTATAGATGACCCCGACTAGGCACTTCGAAGTAGTAGACAATATTACAGGGCACCATACAGATTCCTCAAGATTGTTAAACTCATGGTTGTGAACTTTGTGTACCTCCAGGTAAGATCATATGTATACGGCTACTCCACCCCTAATTCCTGTTTTTCTGTCGTCGCGAAACAAGGACATCCCAGATATTGCTAGCTCTTGGTCCGTAAACTGAGATATCCAAGTTTCAGATATTCCCATCAAATGAACCTTATTAGCATTGCTAAGTTCACGTAGCTCATCCATTTTGTTTGGTAGACTCTCGTCGATCATGTATAAGCAGTTTATGCTTTCGTTTTGAAGTGCGTGAGCTTCTGTCTGTTTGTCTTTATAAGCCTTACGTGAATGGACAGGTAGCCTACCTGTATAAGGTTTGACGAGTTGGAAGGCCCTGTCTTTTACACGTTTTTTTGTGATCAAGACGGTCCACAAGTGGAATGGTCAGCTCCAACTTGCCGTTGTACTTGATCTTGGCG